TCTCTGCTAAATGTTCCTTTCCCTCTCCTTTTTTTCCCCTGTTGGTAGCCAGTGTTTGTTTGCTGTTGATCTGTTGGATGTGTGCCGTACAGACAAGCCTGCCATGTCAAGCATCTTCAAGGAAGGTTTTTAATTCTTTCTCCTACAAATATCTCAGAGCGAGTGACTGAGACTTGAAATGCCAGTTAACGAGAAAGGGGTGGACTCTCTGGGGAAACTTGCAGCTGTTCTTTTCTGTGAGATTCTGTACCTTGACTGGACCGTATCAAGGAATTTTGCTAGGAATCAAAAACTCTGCAATGCCCCATCAGTTGGATGCAGCTTGGTGGGGCGCGAAACACCCCACACAGCAGAGTGGCAGAGTGGAAAGGCTGTAAAATCCATGGGCTGTGATTCTGTCTTGATCATAAACGATAGTATGAACGCGCCGAATGTTGCTAAATCTGGACGTCACAGGAACTCTGCTTTATTGAAAAGCTTGTGATCGCTGGAAGGGAAGAGTGCGTACCTATCCGGGTGACGTCTCTGCTTGCTGCAGGATACTGGGATTTGTAGTATAGAAAAATCAACCCTTCCCACGGCTGTCCGTGACCGTGATCCTTAAAACAGGATGTCACAAACCCCAGTGATTCTGTGACCTCAATCCGCTCAAGCCCATGGTCTGTTATAAAACTGGCCAGATCGAATTTGTTGCTTCTTTCTGGTTTGTTTTGGTGAAAAACAGCTGTAAAGACAACTCGTGTGAATGAACGTCAGGACCCAGAAGAGGCAGAGGGGTTGCTCCTTAGGAGAGAGATTCCCTCCCCCCCCCAGCAGGAAAAACAGGAGCAGGTGGTTTGCCTTGGCTGGTCGCCTAGAAAAGTTTAATGCCTTATCGTTGTCACCACCGGCTTCGGCGAGGAAGGCATGCCCCCCCCCCACGCAGCCCCGGCCTGCGTGCCAGAAGCGTGACATCAGGAACTCAGAACCAGCCAGGGGGTAAAAAGCCTTGCATTTCGATGCGCTTCCAGTGGCACGGATGCTTTTAGGAAAATCAAAAATTTGGAAAGCAGCTTTTCAGACTACCGCACCCATCCCGCCGCCCAGAACCCATCATCCACTAGAAGCGCGCTGGCTTCTAAGAATTCCGGCGGGAGGTGAAGTTTCTCCACCCGTCGCTTTGCCGAGATCTGCTCCCGCCAGGATGGAGCGCTACTTTGCCCACACAAAGGATAATTGAAATTATTAAATATTGGGAGGGGGGGGTCCATAAACATCCAGGTGTTTGTCCAACCTGGAAATCCACGATCTCTGCATAGCAACGCACATCAATATCCTGGATTCTGCCCTGTTTTCGCTGCGAAACATGAATCCTTTGCAATGTTTTATATACTTTTTTCAAACCCCCCACGGATGCGAAGGTAAGGCTGCCTTTTGCCTTCGTCTGCTCACTCCTTTGCAATGTTTTATATACTTTTTTCAACCCTCCCCACGGATGCGAACATAAGGCTGCCTTTTGCCTCTGCCTGCTCATTGGAAGAAAGTTGGCATGGAAACAGGAGGCAGGTAGGCAAAACTTTGCAGTACGAAGGCGCCTGCACCAAAAAGTCCCGTCCGCAACAGCCTGGCTCAGCTCCTGCAGACTCAAGCATTGTGGCTTCCTTAAGGGAGTCCGTCCCTCCCATGTTTTACCTTCCTCTTTCCCTGCTGCCTTGAACTTTTCCCAGCACGGCTGTCTTTTCCAGAGAATTCTGCCTTCTCAAGAGGGGCCCAAAGGAGGACAGTTCCCCCCACCTTGTTGCCTCCAGAGATCCTTCAGGCTCGATTTGATCTAGGACCCTCTCAGGTCGTCTTTCTGGCAATCCGGGGGATCCTCAAAGCTCTCCCCCAGTGCTACATTTCTTCACAGAGGTGACACACCCATCTTGAAAATTTTGGGTCACCTCTCGTGCGTACTGACGAAGCCGGCCATCTCCTCCGAAAACTCGTGTGCAGGCATCAAGCTTGCCGGCTGGACTTTTCTGGAAGGAAGGGATTAAAAACATTTAGCATTCAAGCATTCGGAGGGGGATCGTTTTTACCGGTTCGGTGACGTGGAAATGCCACAAATCCTTTCACACAAAAAAAGAGAGGGATGAACATTTTAGTGCAAGTCGGTGGATAAGGAACAAGGAAAACCTCCCGGTCCTTATCTGGGGGAAAAACAGTGAGGTCCCACCCTTTACAACCTTGGGATCCAAAGCGATGCTAAGAGATGCTCGCTCATAGCCCTGCATGGTTGCTAGGCGACGGCAAGCATCGAGGTCCTTGGCCTCCTCCTAAGGGCAGTGCTAAGGTGGCGGAGGCGGTTTTGCCTCGTCCGTGAGGGCCGCGAGGTCACCGAGGAATGGGGACGGTTGCTATGCCTCCATCGCCGACAGGCCTACCTTCTGTTCGCTTCTGGTCCCTGTTCCAGTGGAAAAATGAACCTTATTGTCTCTTTAAAGACAGCAGCCGTAAAGTGAGTTCTGCAGCTGAGCCGGGACTCGAACCCAAGTCTCTGGGGTCCTAGGCTGACCCTCTCTGTTCACTGCACCATATTGGCTCACACTTTGCTGGAAGAATAAAGCTCATTTTTTGGAGGTTTTAAAGTCGAAACCCATCCTTTGGAGGAAGGGAGGGAATGAAGAACCAGCACCATAACTCCCAGTAGCAGCAGGGAGGAAAAAAATCCCATTGTCCTGAGAGAGTCGCCAACAAGCACTACTCCTAGGATAATATCTGTTTCCAATATTACCTGATTTTCTCAGGAGTTTTTCGGTCCAGTGATCTCTGGACTCTGGCCGCAATTGGTCCAGACGTGGTTTAAAAACCCTCCTTCCTGATTCTTGCCTGCCCCACAGCTGTGACTGTGGCCAAGGTTTGAATTTCAAGCTAAATTCCTCCAGAAGGGTGAAGGGTTTCACCGAGCCGAACAGCTTCAAGTCCCCCCAGACGAGTCCACCACTTTTTCCTTACTAACTGGCCCATACGGTCTCGATAACTCGCTCCGAGACGTTGGCAGGTGAAAGAATAAAAAAAGGTTTCGTTACTTACAGTTGGACGGATCCAACAGCAAGCTGACCCACATGACTGCTTTCAACAAAGAGGTATCGACAGACTCGAGAAGGGGGGGAAAAGGCACCTAAGCAGAGAGGCGGGGCTCCCTATGAATTCAGAGGCAGGGAAGGAGTGATTGGTTCGTGTTGCACAGATTGACAGTCCCCCTCGCCCAAAGAAGTCAATTCCCAGCGAAACCTGCATTTGCTCCGTGAGGTAATGATTCATTTTGTCCCTTTTTTGCACAGCTTCAGGCCAGGCGTTTCTGCCCCCTCTTTGTCAAACAGAAAAGAAACACACACACACACAGAGACACACAAATGCACACAGCTGCTCTCCCACACAGATCTGCGTCTTCGGGGTAGAAAAGTGCCCACCTTCTGCTTCGAAACTAAACACCAAAGCTTCAAAGTGGCTTTGAATGGTGTTTTGCAGGCATAGGACATGACTCACATTGGACCCCTCGCTGGCAAGGAAGAAAAGCCTTCGCCGGAGCGAGAACCGAACCCAGGACACCCCCAGTATTGCTCTAAACAGCACAATCAGAGGCGGGGGCGACGGAGGCCACCTCGAGGCAACATTTGTTCCGGCGCGGCAGGTATGGAACGAACCTTATTTCAGAGCATTGTCATTTGGGGTTTTTATTTTTAAATGATTTTTTTAAAGTGTGTTTTTCTTCTGAAATCCAGGCCCGCAAGAGCTCGGAGGAAAGGCTGACAATTCCTTTAAAGTAGCAAAAGAGAGCAGGCCACTTAAAGGGGATGGGTGAGCGTGTGTTGCTACGGTCGTAAAGCCCAGCCTGTGCCCTTTTTAAGGAGAAAGGTGGGGTAAAAATATTTTAAATACAATAAAATAAAGGGTTCTTGGATGTAGTTTCCCCTCCCTTTCTTCTGGGGTGCAGTTTGCCCAAAGGCCATCCAGGCTGGCTCTTCTCCCAGGAAGCAGAGCCAGGAATTGAACTCGGAACCCCCAGATACCTATAACTCACTGAGTGATTCATCCAGTAGGACTGGTGAATATAATACATACAATACTGTATATATTCTTAAATAGGATATTGCATCAAAAGTAGATTAGCAGCGCCACCTGGTGCCCAGGTTGGTTTATAACAGGTTGCCCGGCCGGCCGGCCCCACCTGTCAGAATGTCTTCTCTCTTTGAGCTCTTTCTCCTGAGCTTGCTTTGCAGAGGATTGGACCAGAAAGGTTCGGAACCTGGGACCGAGAAACGTCCGGGAAGGCACTGCTCTCGTGGCTCTGTTGCTGAGAACGGGTGGGCAACTGGAGGCCATCCCAGCGCTCCTGACTCCAGTACACACACCATCCTTCTGTCGTAACAGGAGCTGCATTTCATCGTCATTGAAACTGCAGAACTGGAAGGGACCCTCTAAGATCATCAAGTCCAGCCCCTGTCAAAGAGGCCCGGTGGGAGATTCGAACTCTCAACTTCTGGCACCGTAGCCAGAGACCTAAACCATGGGACGATGCACAACGTGGGCGGCCACACAAGTTGTGTTGTCTAGACGCGGCGGGATGATGGCCCCCATCAGCTCCCACTAGGGAGTTCCCATCATCCAGAAAAAGGTGTCATGGAGAGGATACAAAGTACAGGACCCCCATATCCGTAGGGGACCAGTTTCAAGCCCACCCCACCCCGTGGATGCTGAAAAGCGTGGATTGTAGCAAATGCTATACATCGCACGGTCCCTGGCTTTCCTCTAGTAGCCCGTTCTGGCAGGGTTATCATCAGAAATATGTATCGTCAGCATTTTTCTTTTAATATTTTCAGACCCTAGATAAGTGAATCAGTGGATACTGATCCCACTGATAAGGAGGTGCTACTGTAAATAAATTAATTTGTCATTGTAAGAGAGGCGCAAGCCCTAGAGACCTCCTCCCTCCCACCCCACCCCAGAGCAAAAAAGGGTCCAGGCAGCACAGGTCATGCCGAGAGCACTTAGTTTTATTAGAGCAAATCTTTAATCCTGTTTGACAGCCGTGGGTGAGGTCCTGAGAGAGGCAGCGCAGGGGAGGGGACGTGGCCACCCTTCGGCTAAAAATGGGCCCACGGGGCATCTATGGGTCCTGGGGGGTTAGGTGCTTCGGATGGTAGGGGAGGAAGGCGACCCACATTTGGCAGCGGCGGGGGAGTGGGACTGGGTCTGGAGGGACAAAAAGAAGCAGGAGCTGTCAATCGGCATTCGAAAGGGATGAGAGGCCGTGGCTGGATTGCGGGAAGAAACAGGAGGGGAGTAAAGTTGCAGGATAGCAAGACTCCAAGGGGTGCCCCCCCCAATTCCTGGTACGTCAGGTTCTTACTGAGACAGCCCATCGGTCCCTGACCGGGACGCTTTCAGCTTGCAGAAAGGGAAGGGCATCCAAGTCAAGGGACAGATATGAACGTTTTCCCCCCCAAAGAAAATTCCCTGGGAAAAGAAACAGGGGTCAAGCTGGAGGGAGGTGGGTGGCTTGTCCTGCTGCAAACACAGTGGAGGTCAAAGGGCAGAGCGTTACCCTTCACCACTGTCGGACAGAGTCCCGCCCCCAACAGGCCGATTTCTTTGGCCCAAACCAGTCTGTCTCTGTATCCGTGGGCATTTTGGCCCTCATCCTGCCTCCCAGCGCTCGGCAAATGAAAAAGGAGAAAGGTTGCTTCTTGTTGCACGGAGATTCCTCCCTCTCTGCCTGTCGAGAGACAAAGAGGCCCCCAGGGAGAAGGGACTGGTGGGGCCCTCCGCCTCGTATCCTGCACAGAGGTGTCTCCATGGTTCCAAGAAACGCTGAACCTTAACCGAGCGAGTTCAAACCGCAGAGGCGCACACGGGAGGGAACAGGTTAGAAGGTACCGGAAGGTGAGCAGGGACAAAATGGGCCGATTACCTACCGAGGGTGGATGCATCCCAGATGGGCCAAAAAAATTTTGGTCACCAGGTCTTGACGCGTTGCTGGCCTCCCTACAAGATCGAACTGTAGCCCCACTCCAAACCCAAAAGGGCAGACAACCCCACGATCCAGGAAAACCCACACCCTGGCTGAATGATCGCTGCGCGGCCGGTGCCGCCATGTCACGGCGGCTCTCAACTCCACGCGCGCTCTGCCAGCTCCTCCCGGCTCCTTTTAAGGCTTGAGCTTCAGCCACGGATAGACGATGGCGAGGATGGAGAGGACGGAGGACGTGAGGCCGCAGAGTCCCACAAAGCCCGGGCTGGTTCTGTAGAGGCCCAGCTTGTCCAAGGGGATGAAAACGTCGCAGGCGTTTTTGGCCACGTCCAGGAGCAGAGGGGGGTTGTCCCGGAGCACCCGGGCCAGGAGTCGGAGCTGCTGCCTCAGCCTCAGCGCCAGATGCTGGAGCCGGCCGTCCTCCCCGCCGGGCACGGGGCCGCCGTCTCCGCCACCCCCCCCTTTGGCGCCCTTCCCGCTGGCCTCGCGCTCCATCAGCAACCGGATCTCGTAGGCATCTCGGCTCAGGTTCAGGATCAGCGCAAAAAGGTAATAGCTGGGGGGGAAGGACGAAAGAGAGAAGCTGCAACTCAGGGAAAGGGATCGGTCTCTCAGCAGCAAGGAGCTGTGACAGCAAAAAAGAGAACCCCCACCTACAGGAGCAGTCTATCTCACTCCTTGGATGCAAAGGGCAAACCATGGGGAAAGACGGTGCCTTGTGAGTCCCCCTCTTCAGAACGAGCTGGCCGGCATCCAAAAGAGAGGATAAGACTTTGACGGGCCCATTCTGATCTCCTCCCCCTTGCAAAACCTCAAGGAGTGCAGGAACTCTGCGCCCTTGAGATCTCTGGCGCCGGAACCGCTAACAGGCCTAGGTGGTGCTTGTGCCTCTTAAAGGGCAAGCCTCAGAGCCTGAACGTTCATTTTAAAAATCCCTTACAAGGTTTTGGGGCTTTTACTAATCAAGATAACGAATCTAATCCCAGCCTCCTCTGAAACGCACGGTTCACAGGGCCCGGATCTGCAGCTAGGATGCAGGTTCCTGTACGACCCTACATATCTACGGGGGATGAATTCCAAGCCGCCTCCCCAATGTTGAAAAAAGTGTGTTATAGCGAACCCTATTTTAATAGGAGGACACTGCACACAGCGCGGTGTCTGGCTCCCTCCAGTGTCCAGTTCATATTTTCAGATGGTAGATAAGGGAATCGGTGAATACTGATCCCACGGATAAGGGGGCCCTACTGTATGCGGTTTTTCTCCTGGCTGGCTCTCACACTGCCGGCCTCGGGTCTACGGCTGCTCCTTCCCTGCAGCACAAGGCCGTCCACCGGCACTGCCCGCTAGACTGAAGGGCGGAGGAAGACAGGGCCGGCTCGGGCCTTTCCCCTCACCGGAAGGAGCGCTGGCTCCACTTCTCCTGGTCCATGTGGGGGACAAGGCCCGATCGGCCGGCCCAGAGGACGTTGTCACAGGCGAAGTACATGGCTCGGTTGAGGTGGCTGACCGTGATGCAGAAACGGAGGACCATGTCCGACAGGTGGATGGCCCGTTTGGCGGCTTCCAGGGCATCTGCAGAGTTCCCCAGCCGGAACACTGGAAAGGGAAATAAATAGATAAACAGCCCATCCAGTCATAGGCGACACTCCCCTTGCTTCTTCCATGGGTCTCAAAAGAGTCGAGGGCGAAGCCTTAGGAGGAAAGAACTGGGCATGTTTTGCTCTGATGAAAGACGACGATGGGGAGACCGGAAAGCCTTTTTCAAAGACTTGGAAAGCAGTCCTGCAGTGGGGGAGGAGGCAGGATCCGTTCTCCACCATCATCCCAGGGCGCAGGGCATGCGGAGACCGGAAAGCCTTTTTCAAAGACTTGGAAAGCAGTCCTGCAGTGGAGGAGGAGGCAGGATCCGTTCTCCACCATCCCAGGGCGCAGGGCACGTCATTATGGGCTCAAGCAACAGGAAGCCAGGTTGAGCCTGAGTATCAGGAGAAACGCCTTAACTATTAGAGCAGTACGACAGTGAAACCGATGACCTTGGATTTTATGAAATTGTCCTGGACCTGAGTTTACTACAAATATGGTGAGAGAGCTGAGAGAGAGGAGGACTATGAACCTTTGGCCAGCACCCAACATCACACAGCCCCGCACCAAGCCACTTTCCCTCTCTGTAATGGAGGATCAACAGTGACCGGCCTTTAGTGAGAAACCTCTAGAAAGACTCAAATACACTGGTATAACCCTCTGCCATATCTTTTAACCGTACGAAGTATATTTTGCTTATGAACATACAGGATACTTATTTCCAGTACAGTCGTGCCTCACTTTACGATTGCCCCGCATTACGACAAACCGCATTTCGACAATCTTTTTGCAATCACAATTGCGATCGCAAAACGATGGTCTGAATGGGTTTTTTTCGCTTTGCGATGATCGGTTCCCTGCTTCAGGAACCGATTCTTCGCAAAACGACGTTTTTTAAACAGCTGATCGGCGGTTTCAAAATGGCCACTGGGTAAACAAAATGGCTCCCCGCTGTTTTCTGAGACGGATTCCTCGCAAGACAGGCAGTGAAAATGGCTGCCCTATGGAGGATCTTCGCTGGACGGTGAGTTTTGACCCCACTGGAACGCATTGAAGGGGTTTCAATGCGTTTCAATGGGTTTTGTTTTTTTTGCATTACGATGTTTTTGCTTAACTGCGATTTTCCTGGAATGGATTGTCGTCGTTAAGCGAGGCACCACTGTATTTCCAAGGTGGCCATTATAACCCATGCAATGCTGGATGGGTGGCTTGGCGATTTAGGTCTCTGGCTGCAGAGCCAGCGGTTGGGAGTTCGATTCCCCCACGGGGCTTCCCTGGAGAACAGCCACGCTCTGGGTAAGCAGAGCCAGCTTATATACCACCCCATAGTGCTTCAAGCACTCTCTGGGCGGTTTACAAGTTAATTATGCAGGCTACACATTGCATGGGTAACCATGCACAGACCCAGAGGAAGCCACTTATGAATATCCTCTATCTGGAAAACCCTTAAAAGTGTTGCCGTAAGTCAGAATTGACTTGGCGGAACATGTTTGTTATTAATATTGGAAAGCAAAATCAAATGCCAATAAATCAGGGTTAGATTATTAGGGAAACCATGACGCACACACACTATTGTGTCCCTACAGGCCTCAAAGAGGAAACCGTTAAAACAATTCCACACCAGAGAAGCCCACTGTAACCCCCCCGCGTCACTTCCCTTCCCCCCCCCCCGCGGGGATCCCCAGACAATTTCCTCCAGACTCACATTTCCGTCCCAAACTCAAGTGCGATTCCAGCTGCTTTATCCTAGCCAGGAAATCAGGGCTGGCCCCGTTCTTTTGCAGGGTGTAGCCGAGCAGAGTGCAGGCGTACTGGGCAGCCCTAGAAATAAAAGGGTAAAAAAGAGTCAACGATGCAAACCTTTAGGTAGGACTCCCGGGTCAAAATCCTGGCATGTAGCTATGGAAAAAGGGTAGCTTTTAAGAGCTTTATTCCTATAAAAACCGTTCCGTTCAGGGACATCCACCCTGAAGTTACGAATGACCTCCGTTCCCTGATCCTACTAACATTGGAAGCAGGGTATTACGGAGTAAATGCCAGATCTGAGGGGATCCGGATTCTTGTTCCCACTGAGCTACGAAGCCTTACTGGGACCACTGGATAGCTTGGGGGTTCGAATCCCCACAGTTCCTCCTTAACAGGGGCTGGACTTGATGATCTATTCTAAAAGTATCCTTTCCAGCTCTGCTGTTTCATTATAATAATAATTATTATTACTGTTACTATATTTCAGCCTCCTTATTCCCTCGGCCTGACCTACTCCACAGGGCTGAGCCACAACTGGAACTTACTCATGCCCCCCCCTTCAGATCGTTGGAGAAAAAGCAAGAGATAAACATGAGTGCCCCTTTATCCACTGATTCACTTATCCACGATCTGAAAAAATTGAATATACTGCTGCACCGCACTGGCAGAGCGCCTCTTGAAGGCATCCAAACCAGGGTGGATGAAAATTAATGATTTTTTTTTTTACAAAACACAAACAGATTGAAATTTCAAACATTTAATATATATATTAAACATTTAATTTAATATATATACTGTATATCCGATTTCTCTCAAATCAAGGCCACCCTGACCCAAATGAACGAGGAAGGCTGCCCCAAGGGACAGGCTGATCCGAGAATTGTCGAGCCGGGCTCGACACGTGGATCCCCCATTCGCACGCTCACACCAAGACACGTGTCTCTTGCAGAAACCTCTCTTGCCCCTCTCTCCCTCTCTGCCCACCTGAAGACCCGCTCCTTGGCCTGGCTCTGGGCGCTGAACCGCACCCAGGACTCCATGGTCGTCCCCCCCTCACCGCCCCTTCTCCTCCGGGGGCCTCGGGCGGCCTTTTTTGTTGGGACGACCCCGCCGGGATGGGACCCTCGGCCTTCCCAAGGACCTCAAGTGTGTGTGTGTGTGTGTAGGAGGGACTCCGGATCCTCCGGCGGGACCCTCGGCCTCCCCTGCGGGGCTTCCCGCGCGTGGCCTTCGCCTTCTCGGCCGGTTCGACCCCTGGTGCCACCGCCTCCTAGGAAACGGCGGCCACTTCCGGGTACAGTGGGGGGAAGGGCCAACAGTTACGGAGGCGCTCAAGGGACAAACTTAGTCCACATTGACGATTTGGTCCCTCCTCCCGCAAGAAGCGACGGCAATTGGACGCAGGGTATGGAAAAAGTGCCCGCCCACTCCTCTCTCATTGGCTCGCTGGGATCGAACTGGGCCGGCCTCTCTCCTCCGACCCAGCCCCCGGTGGCTTCCTTGGCTCCACCCCCTCACCGGGTGCCCTCTTCTGAGGCGATCACGACGGCGGTTGGCTAGAGCG